CTCGGTAAGCGCCCCCTGACTCTGGAGGTTGTTTTTAATTTGCGGCCCCCCCTCCTCCCGACGATGCTCCCCAAGGCACCCCTGTCTAAGATGGGGGGCCTGGCAGGTGGGGAAGTGCTGCCCTCCCTGCCCGGAGGAGAGCTGAACCTCTCCTGGGCAGCCCGCTGCTCTGTTCCTTTCGTGTGCAAAGCACAAGCCTCTGTGGAATATTGCGTGTTAGCTAGGTATTTTAATTTAAAATATGTATTCGTGAACAGGAGCCTGCCTTATTTTTGTAGGACAAAATCTAAAAGTGGTTTTTTGCCACACATCTACTTGAGTGGGATTCTCTTCAAGAAGTCCAGAATGTGCTGATGAAAAGCATCGAACACCTGTATTATTATTGCTTGAAAGGGTGCCATGTGAGCTTTATGCTCTGAGCTGTATGTTAGGTGTGTGGCTTAGACACCAAATGGGGAGAGCTTCCAAGTGAATTGTGTGGTTGGCGTGATATTCCTTTAACACAGCGTGAGCGGTAATGCAGTGCTTCGTTGTTAAGCCCTGAAGTTTGGACTCGGAGGAAGAGTGTGTCTCTGGAATTCTCTGTGCAGGTGATACTTGAATTGTAAATTTTGCTTCAGGGTCTTGTTAAGAAGCTGACTAAGGGTTTAGGAAAGCAGTATTTGGGGTGTGTTTAGTGGGGTAACAGAAAGCTTGTATTTCTGGACATGGAAGTAATTACTAATAGGAGTATGACTTCGATAGGATTCTTGATCCAGAAATGTTAGCATGTGATAAGTGATGCGGGAATAGCTCTGAACAGGAGAGGTTGTTACTGCCAGTATGGCTGCCCATCAAACTGGGATCTGTCTGTTTAGGGGAATAGTCCCAAGCAGGTACTTGTTGTTTAAATTGCTCTGTAGAAAGGCAAAACTTGGTGGCAATGGTTGGCTTTCAAATAGGGGGGAAGCATGGATCCCATATGCAACCTATTGAATGTCAGCCTTTCTCATGTAGCCAGTTCCCAGTTCTAGTAATTGGATAATCATCCTGTTTCTGCTCTGTCTAGTAGGATTAATGATAAACTGGGTGTGTGTGTATCTTGCACAAAATTCCAGGTACTGCCAGCGTCAGGCAGGCTTTTTACGAGTGCTCAGCAGGCTGAGCAGGGTTTTCAAATGCAGTATGCTGAGCTCTGCAAAGTAGCTGGGCTATTTGGCTACTTAAGAGCCTAAAACAAAACCGAACTCTGTGAAAATTCTCAACTGCTGATTTCTTTTCTGGGCCTCTTAGAAAAGAGGCTCATGTTGTCAGCAGGACTGACAAATTATATGGAATCCGTAGAAATATTCAAAATTTAACTGGGCAGGGCTCAGAGCAACCTGTTCTAAGTTGTCCTTGCTCTTAGCAGGGGCAAGTGGGGTTGGACTAAATGACATCAAAGGTTTCATCTGACCTAAATATTTCCAATTCTGATGATTTCTGAATAAGAGCCTTTCTGTCTTGGCAAAATTCTTAATAGTATTGTAAGTGTTCCTTGTAATAATTTGCACGACTATTGTAAAGTGGAACCAACGCAAATAACTGGAGTAAGCTCCCACGCTCTGACCTTGATACGGTGAATCTCCTGTCCTGCCTCTTTCTTCTTCTCGTACGTGATCAATAACGTCCTCTTGAGGCTGGTTCATTACTTGCTTTAGAAACCTTGTCGTGAAAGTATTTGATACTTGGAAAGATTTTCTTAGATTTGAGCCAGAAGTCTACCATATTTTACAATGTCGCTTCTGAAAGATAGGGTGGTAGTTAGCACTTATCGTAACTGAAATAGTAAAAAACATAGGCTTCCTGCCTCGTGTGTATATTCTTGCATTCTTTGCTTAGGTTTTCTGCCTGACTAGGTTGGCAAAAGGGAGTCATTAGACATCTTTTCTGGTCGCTTCTGAAAATAAGCACCTTTATTGAAATGTATTGTGTGGAGGAGATTTCTACAGAGTAACATACTATGTATTCTGAATCTGAGGGTGCCACGTTATCCCTGCGGCTGGCCTGATCCTGGTTGAGATGTCCTTACTTTGACTTGTAGGCGTCTTCCTCTTTCTGAACGTGTCTGGGAGCAGTGAGAGCCTGCTGGTCCCGAAGGGGCAGGAGCTGGGAGCTCAGGGGAGATAGCACAGCTGTGGGCAGGGGCTTGCCTGTCAGTCCCATAGCGCTTCTGTGAGGGGAGCAAAGCAGACGCAGAGATTACGGCCGGGTTCAGCCAAGAGTCCAGATAATCAGGCAGGTTCATGGTGATGAGACAGGTCAAGCCGGGAAGTCAGTCCCATCAGTCAGGGTCAGGTCCCCTGATTGCCAGGCAGGCCTGTGGTGATACGACTGGGCCAAGGCCAGGCAGGGCCATCAGCCCAGGCGTGGGAGTCAGGGTCAGGCCTGAGGAGGGGAACCAGAGTAAGGTTCAGACTCAGGGTGGCAATGCAGGTCCACAGGGACGAGGACAAGCTGAGGCCAGGCCATCAGCCTGTGGGTCGGGCTTGGGTCAGCAGGACCCATAGCCAGGCAGGGCAGGGCTCTGGTGGACCTGGAGAGCAGCACTCCTAGGCACCAGTGGTGCCTAGGATTGTTGGCCCTGGCATGGGCTGAAGTGGACCTCCTGGCCCGTGGGGCAAGGCTGGGCAGGGACAGTAAGGCCTGTTAGTGTCCTCAGGGCCCTGAGTGTGTTGTATTGTCATTTCTGTTTCAGTGGAAATAACTGCTAGTTTCTGGTTTGAGTTAAAACATCAAAGCCTGAAAAGGTACAAAACCAACAACTGTTAGCGAATTCCCCTCCGTGTGTTTTAGAGTCTATATCTTCCCATGAGACAAAGTTCTGGAAAAACAGCTTTTTCTTTTGGATGGGGGTTTACCACATGTTCAGATTATGGGATGATGGTTTTTAACAAAAGTAGTATTTGGGCAAAGCAAAAGAAAGCTATAACGCATGCTCCACAGAGAGAATTAGATGTTGCCTAGGAAGTTATTCTTCCTTTTCACTGATTTTTGATTTAGACAGGATTATAAACTCTCTTGTTTTCTCTGATGTCGCTAACATATAGGAAGCAAGGGGTTTGGGGAAAAGTCCCTAATTTGCCAAGGTCCAGTACAGTTAATGTTGCAACACTAGTGATTTCTCTAATTAAGAAAGTCAGTTAGTTGCAGAACTTTATTTTCAGAGGTATATAAGAATGTGGCAAAACAGTTTTTTCCCTTTGCATCTTGCATGTAAGTAATAAGCCATGTATTATACAATATACCTTAAAAGAAAGTTCCAGTTGTCGAAGTAATCAATCCACTAAACTTCTTGCTATCAGTGTTTTGGTTATTTTTTGCTGAATGTAAGATGATAAGAAATTAGGAAATATTTTTGCTTCCTGCCCTCTTCCCCCAAAGTTCTTGTAATCAGAAGGCTGTATAATAGTTTTTAATAACTTTTATTTGTGTTTCTCATATGTAGCACCATAAGAATTACTGAGAACCAGCTGGAGTAATACCATGAGTATTTTCTTTCATACAGGACATCATGGCAGCCCATCAGGAGAAAAAAACTTCTGAAGAAAGAAAACGCAAAAGCACCCAAAATGATACTCGAACATCTCAAGTCCAGTGGGGAAGAGCATGGTGAGAGAAGCTGATGACCCTAGTTAGTCTTTGTATTTCAAATTGGTTCATACTTACTCTTATAGATGCTACATCCCCTTTAAACTTCATGCTATTATTAACAGATTGTTGCATTGCCCTTCTGTTGAAAGCTCATGGGTAATAAGCTGTAGTAACAGATGCCAAAGAAGAGTTCTTCAAGATTTTTAAGATGGGAGAGCTTGCCAGATGGCCTGGGTTAAAACACAGTCCTCCTTACTACAAAAAAAAAAAAACTAAAAAAAAAACCCAAAACCCAGTAAAATTTGTAGTTCCTTCAAGGACTGAACAAAATATTTTAGGAGATTTGGAAAACAGGCATTCATCTGTGGTATAGCCAGTTGACATCTCCTGCTGTAGCAAAAGCAAGGCTCGTGTCCCTGTTCTCAGAGTTGTGCAAGTATTAATAGAGTATTGTATTGTAGCTGGAAACAGCCATGGGTGTTTATATGACTTGCCACTACAGTGTGTGGGAGGGAGACCAAGTTCAACTTCTGGCTGTCCAGGGTCTGTCTTTTCTATATTTCCAAATTTTGCATAATATTCTTGTGATTCTGTTACCACTTCCAACTGAACACTCTACTAGTTATACCTATGATTGCCATCAAAAACATGAAGGCTGTAATAGTAATCCGCTTTTTGGAGAGGAGATATTATCTATTCCATTGCTCTGATCAACTGGCATCGGTTTATAACAGTTTGTGGTAAAGTATGTAACGTGCTAAGTTTTTTATGGCTATTTGACCCAAAGAAATGTATGTGCCCTGAAAACATTTTTGCTTTTGATCTGGTTAGTCTAGAAGGTCCACTGAAAAAATTGCCTGACTTAACCAAACCACTGTTCTAACTTAAAGCTGGGGAAAAAAAAAAAATCCTCTGTTTTGGATTACAGGGAAGTGGACTGGTTTTCCTTGGCAAACATCATTTTCCTGCTCATGTTTGCGCCACTTATCGTATATTACTTCATAATGTCATGTGACCAGTACCAGTGCTCTCTGATTGATCCACTCATTGACTTGTTCACGGGGAATAAACATCTGTCTGATATCTGGAACAAGACTCCTACACTGACCTATAGGGCTGCTGGGATCTATACCCTTTGGGTTGCTTTCCAGGTATGTTACTGAGTTGTGATTTAGATGTAGTGGCTTTTAAAACAGCTGTTGGACTAATCCTTTTAGTCGAAGGATCATGGTATGTCGTGCTGGCTTTTCTCACTTTCCATGGCTTTTTGGAATTCAAATGAAGCTTATGCACGTGAAAAATAAATATGTTGGGAATATACACAAATGTTCCTTGTGTGACATGTTCCTTGATGTGGTTTTTAAGAAAAAGCAACTATATAACAACAATACCCATTTGTTACACAATATATCATAAACTAACTCTGCAGAAGGGGCGATTATTTTCTATAGACAGACTGTAAAAGAACATTGACATATGAAATACAACTTAGATTTTTAAAATATCTTCAAACTTACCAAACCATTCTAATTTTTCTCCAAATCTGAAAATGACTTACATGTAACACAGATTAACTTCAAAATAAAAGGATAATGACCTGAATCTAGTCACCAACTGTCTTTCCTCCCCACCAAAAAAAGGGTGACAACTATATATGAAGGTTGTTTAGAAGCTTGGAAATATTACTAGTCTAAAATCACAACAGCTACATCTTGCCATATTTTCTTATCCAACACTTAATTGAATCTGCTGTGTGTTACACTTAGTATGTGTATGAAAGGGATAGTGGTTTTGAGGGTTTTGTCTTGTCAGTTTTTGTTGTTAATACATTCTCTCCCTTCTAGGTGGTTTTGTATCTGTTCATTCCTGACTTCTGCCATAAGTTTCTTCCTGGATATGTAGGAGGTGTACAAGAAGGTGCTGTCACCCCTGCTGGTAAGTTCTTCCTTAGAATATATGCACACCATGCAAGCTTTTAAAATGATAGTATTTCTGTATTTGCAATATTTAGCAACCCATACATAACTGGAGGAAACGTGGACATAAATGGTTTCACCTTCCTCGTATGTCCACTTGAAACAAAAATAAAAAGCAATCAATGTCATCTTTTAGAATAAATGATAGAATTTCTATCTCGTACTGATAGTAAAACTATTGATATGGTGGGCACCGCACCAGCAATGGAAAAATACAGATTGATGATTTTGGTGTACTGATAGTAAAATTATTGATATGGCGGACACCGCACGAGCAATGGAAAAATACAGATTGATGATTTTGGTGCTTAACATCAGCAGTGGACTACTGCTAGTATTTGACAATGCAGTTGCACCTGCTGAAGCTGAGTTAACCCACAAGTCTTGAACAGAGTGAGTGATGTGAACTAAGGGTGAGAAAGGGTAACTTGTTACCTTTGTTAGTTTTAGGGGAGTTTCCAAATTCATTGTTTTGTGAAGTTAACCCATGAGTCTTGAACAGAGTGATGTGAACTAAGGGTGAGAAAGGGTAACTTGTTACCTTTGTTAGTTTTAGGGGAGTTTCCAAATTCATTGTTTTGTGAAGTGAGAGTGAAGAGAAGAGCTCAGCCTAACAAAGCCTGATGGTTACGGCAGAGTCTAATGAAACTTTCAGAAAAGTGCCACAAGATATTTAATTGGGAGGGTGAGGAGAGTGAGGTCATTTGATGAGCACTTGATTGTGCTTCTATGTATTGTACGCATATCAATGAAAAGCTGTACTAATGCAGTGTCAGTAACATTCCTTTCTTTTTTTTTCCTATATGTTAGGTATAGTGAATAAGTATGAAATCAATGGACTTCAGGCTTGGATCATTACCCATGTGCTTTGGTTTGCAAACGCCTATTACTTCCACTGGTTCTCACCCACCATCATTTTTGACAACTGGATTCCTCTCCTGTGGTGTGCCAATGTTCTGGGATATGCAGTTTCCACATTTGCAATGATTAAAAGCTACTTTTTCCCTACCAATGCCAAAGACTGGTATGTGGCTTTTTACTAATGAGAAAATACTAGGTAATCAGTCATATAAATTGAATGCTGCATAGAATAATGATGACAGAATATATTTTACTGGCACAGATAGATAGGCCAATGTATGACTCTGGCTTTTTGCTTCGTTAGCACTCTTTCATGCTACATGGCATGTGACTGGCAGCCTCTGTGTTACAGATACTTGTTTCTCACAAATAGGATGGTGGTAAAGTTCTAGTTAGACTGTTCAAAAGTGTTACCAAGAATAAACTAAGGTACCTCTGAAGCTAAAATTTATCTCTACTAATGTAATGCTTTGGTTGGATCAGTTTATGTTGTCTTGCGCAACATCATATGGTTTATGATTTTTTTATCATTACATGGAGTGAATCTGAAATGTGTAGTTGGAATAGTAATTACCTGTATTTGTGTATAACTGTGTACATTTCTTATTTTTTTTATGCTTTCTAGCAAATTCACTGGCAACTTCTTTTATGACTACATGATGGGGATTGAATTTAACCCTCGAATAGGAAAGTGGTTTGATTTCAAGCTGTTCTTCAATGGGCGCCCTGGTATTGTAGCCTGGACTCTAATTAACTTATCCTATGCTGCTAAACAACAGGAGCTGTATGGTCAAGTAACCAACTCCATGATCCTTGTCAATGTCCTTCAGGTAACTAAGGGAGGGACATAAGAAAGCAGTTTGGAAATAAACTAGTGTTAAAGGAGAAAAAAACCTCCCTGCATTGAAATTAACTTACACAATTTTTCCTGGCCCGAACAACCTCATTCAGTGATGATGCACTGGGACTTGATTATTTGGACACTTGTATTTATTTTGAGTGCCACCGTGAATACTCTGCAGTGTTCATTCAGAGTGCCACCAGTGGCATGGTCATGTCTGCACCAGCAGATTTCAGTGTAAACTTAAATTAAGAGATACTTTTCTGAGCGTGTGTTCTGGAAACAGGCATAGCCTGATCTTGAATCCAAAGAGAGCAATGACAAATTCTGTGGCTTTAGCTGGAGGAAGATTGGACAAGTTTTTCTTCTGAGGGCAGCACTGCACCTAACTTTTTTTGTGTGTGTGTGTCTAGGAGATGTGCAAAACTACAGATGTCTCCACGCCTTAAAATAGCTGGTCAGGTGAAACCCCAAAGTAATAAGTACAGAAAATAGTTTGGATTTATTTATTGATAGGTGTAAATGGGAGCCCGCTCGATAGAAGCTCTATTCCCCCTCTCTGTAAGCATAAGAGTCTTTTAGCTCAAGAAAGACAGGAGTGATTAAATGTATGTTTCCTAAGTGTATGTCCTTATTGTAGCACACTTGCCTTGGTTATCTTAGTTAATATTGCTTTGCATTACTTATTATTCCTTTATCTATATAGGTGCAGTATATTTGTGTCATATATGTTCCTCTTAAGGCTGTATTTTTGAGGTGTTAAAATACAAATCAGTTTTGAGATCCTATTACAAGACAGCACAGAAAGATTAGACTGATGCTGTAGAGAGGATAACTGGTGACAGTGCTCTGTTACTAATGTGAAACTATTCTGTTTCAGGGTATTTATGTTTTGGACTTCTTCTGGAACGAAGCCTGGTATCTGAAAACCATTGATATCTGCCATGATCATTTTGGATGGTATTTGGGCTGGGGAGACTGTGTTTGGTTGCCTTACCTCTATACTTTGCAGGTAAAAATGTGGTACAATTCATGTTTGGGCTACAAACATGCAGCAGTTTGTTTTCTATTTTGAATTGTTTCTAGACAGTTTGAATACTGAGTGACCATTACAACGTCCTTTGCAGCAATTCACTTGTAAGAAGGCTTACGGTCCCTGCAATGAATTGACATCTCTTTCTCTCTTCCCCTTGTTTTGTGCACTCTTCTGTCACTGTCTGTATTTTATTTTTTTTTCCTACATCATTTCAGTCCCTTTTTGTACTTCTGCATGTTGAGAGTGTTTGGTGGGGTTTTTTTTTGCCTTCTGTCCTGGTTTGTCTGCGTACTTGCAACTTCTCTCTTCTTGTTCCACCTAAGAAATGCAATGTTGGAGACAGAGAGAGAGAATGTAGGATGTAGAGTTTTCTGAAAAACTTCCACGGTTTTACTGGTAGGGAGGATTTTCCTGTTCTTCCTACTCATCTGTTCTGGGTCACTGTAGGTCAAGGAATTAATGTGGCATCCTGCACATATATTTAAAGTAAATCACTGATTGTCTTTTTTTTTTTTCCTGCTCCCCAGGGTTTGTATTTGGTTTACCACCCTGTCCAGCTGGGCACAGCTAATGCTATAGGAATCTTGATGTTGGGTTTGATCAGCTATTACATCTTCAGAATGACCAACCACCAGAAGGACCTCTTCCGTCGTACAAATGGCAACTGCAAGATATGGGGGAAGAAACCAGAGTATATTGAGTGCTCCTATATGTCTGTGGATGGGACCAAGTACTACAGCAAACTGATGACCTCAGGATTCTGGGGGTGGGCACGCCATTTTAATTACACAGGAGACTTGATGGGATCCCTGGCCTATTGCCTGACTTGCGGGTTTGAACACATCTTGCCTTACTTCTATATTGTCTATATGAGTATTCTGCTAACCCACCGTTGCATTAGGGATGAACACCGTTGTTTCAGCAAATACGGGAAGGACTGGAAGCGCTACACTGCTGCAGTGCCTTACCGGCTCATACCAGGAATATTTTAAGGCTAATGCAGAATCCAGGGAAGAGGAAAAAAAAAAAAAGAAACTTTTTTTTGGAGGTGAAGAGAGTTTATTACATAGTTTAACTAACAAAAACACTTCGTGAAGGACACTTATACGGTTCTGAAGGAGAAAATGTGGCTGGACAATAATTCTTGCTGTACTGAAGGAGCATGCAGGCAGACTGTATTTAAATGATATGAGGCACTGAAATGGTCTGGTTTTTTAGAAGACTCTCTTACTTGGAACTCTTTTTTTTTTCTTTTTTTTTTTTTTTTTCCCCTCCCTCTCAAAATTAACTTGGAATTGAGGAAAAGTTGCATGTATTAAGACTCCTGAAGTATCCCAGAGATGGAAGGAAGCCTTACCCATCAGAGTAGCAGGGTTCTGGAACCAGTTTCCAGCGACGTAGGAGAGGAGAAAAATAATTGTGTGATCTCTTTATGAAAGAAATTGTCTGATGTGGTTGCTTGTGACAGTCATAACCTACAGTAATTAACTCCCCAAAGGAGGCTTTATTGTTTGCTGCTTTTTCAAGAGGGGAAATACTGAACTGGGGAACCTGATCCTAAACTGGTGTGTGGGAAGATTTTTATAATCTAATACAAATACTTGTGGAAGCTGGTATAAATATGTATGGCTCAAAAGTTACATTAGTTTACAGCACCTGAGAATGTGGTACATGACCAACTGGGTATTATTTTGATACCAAAACCGAACTTGCTTTGTGGAGATACTGAGTGTACATTGATTTCTTTAGTGTGGATAGAAAACTCCATTCTCTAGCATTTGTATAAAATCTTATTTGTAAAAATTTAAGAAATAAATGGTTGGTTCCCAGACAACTAAAAAGTACTGCTAATTTTCTGTTCAGCTATTTCTTTTCTTGTTACGTAGTTATCTTTCAGAGTTACCGAATTCAAAAGGAGCTCTTCAAAGAGTGTAATTCCAAGAGCTGGTTCAAGAATGCATAAAGGAGAAACAAATAAAAAGAAAGCGGGGTCATAGTATTAACCATGCATTGTTTAATGAGCTTGGTAGTTATGTTCAAGCTAAAGGACTCTATTTTTTTATTTTTAAGCATAAGTATACGTTTAGTTTTTGCAGTAAGTAGATAACTGTGTAAATTGGTTTCTTGTAGGAGCTGCTGAATGCACTGATCCTCGTGGTGGATTTGAATGAGGTGTGTTGGTGAGTATGTGTTTTGGTTTTGTTGCAGTATTGCCTGAAAGGATGGTTTTGGCAGGAGAAAAAGGTTCTGTCCAAACCTAGGAAACAAATGTATTTTGTAGTTTGACTTTGTTTCAGAGCTGGATGTACAAGCATGTATAGAGATGCCTTGTTAATGAAAGTTCTTAAACAAACTGCACCAGCACTGTCTGTAGACCTCGTAACTACTTTATCACCATTTTGCAGATAACAATTTCAGTATGTTACGGTGTTGCTAATAACAGTGTTTTCATGGGGCTGGGAGTAGCCATATCTGACAATTTCTACTCAAATCCCAAAGCATTCCCATAGAATAAAAAGCTCTCTGTTAGCGTGTCTGGTAACCAAGTGGCTGATTACAAACTCCATAATGTGTTTATATTGCCTAAAATCCATATATTTAAGCATACTGAATTGATGATGCAACTGGCAGTACTAAACTTCAGAGAAGTGTTCGTAGTTTAACTTATTGAAGGTGGCAGTCCAATCTCTCTCTGTGTGACACAGTTCTGCACTGATCTTTATCATGTAGGTAGGTGTCCTAAGGCTTGTGTTTGCTTTAAGGATTGTTAGCATTTTGGATCATTAAGTTCGTATAAATTCTGGACATCAAAGGTCGTTGTAGCTCACTTTCCTACAGGTCTGGATTTCATTGAACTTCCAGTTTGGAGGGGCAACACCATTTTCTTGTGGGTTGGAAGTAAAAAGAATCCTTTCTGCTTCTGTGTAGCACCCAGTACAAAACACTGCAGTTATGTGTCTGGAAACAGCTGTTCGTAGGAAGTAGGCTGTCTCAATTTAATGATACTTTTAAACATATTTGTATCTGTAAACTTGTTTCAAAGCAGCAGCTAATTGAAAATGGTGCCTTGGGAGGAGGAATGATGGCTGTAATAATGGCACACTCACTGGCAACAGATGTTTTGCTGTGGTAGAACATTTGAACTTTGCGCTCCTATAAACGAAGAGGACTTTTAATACAGATACTGAAAGGTGGGGGGAGGAAATCAATGTCGATTGCCTTTGCTGAAAATACGTAGCCCAATACCTTACCAGTTCACCAAGGGGTAATGCTTAAAAAATGGTTGATTTGAGAGAACTTAGTCCAGAGGAAGGGAAAACTGAGGTGTGGGCTTCTAGGACTGTTGGACCCCATCAGTTGCTGGCACCGCATTGCTTTAGGCTGCCCTTGACCTTGCTGGAGTAATTGGATAGTTTCTCTTCTCAGCTTCCCTAAGGCCACACACTTGCATCCTTTTCTTATGTAGCCTTTAAATTGCACTGACAGCTTGCTGTTAATGCCAAGGCTATTTAAATATTGCAAGGTAATCTGGACTCTAAATCACAGTAGCCTTGCACGGCACAGTATGCTCCCTTCTTTTCACTGATAAATCCTGGATGATTAGTGGAAGAAGCTGCCCATTTAAGACCAACAAAAATATCAGTACTTTAAAAATAAAATTGGGGAAACTTGAAGCAAAAGAGTAGTATTGTGAGTAACGAGACCATTATGCATTAAAATGCTGCTTCTAGGCAGTTTCTGTTACATCTAATATTACTCAAAGGATTTTCTGTACTGTCTGACATTGGAGTATGGAAGCACTTTTATCTGTTCCTTTGATGCGGACTGCTACTCCTGCTGAGAATACTTTACCCTGCAGATAACCTAGCTGCTGCAGGTGAGAACTCTTTGTCGGCCAGATAGTTAAACTCATGGTGGGAAGCAATTAGTCGTAGGCTTTTTCAAGGAAGAGGCCATCACTGGGCTAAACTCACATCCTATTTGTTGTAAGGATGACAGATTCTGCTTCTTCAGGCTTGCCTGTTGTCCATACAGGTCTTTTTTGTTCCATCTGTGTGGCATACAGACTTAAGTATATACTGTATGTATACAGAGGTCTGCATCTCACTGGAAAAGGAAGTGCTAATTCCATTCAGGTTTGTATTTCTTAATTATAAGTTATTTTTGGAGAGGCATGAAGGATATTTTTATCTGTAAGCTTTGTTCTAACATAAGCCATGTGTAAGCAGTATTCCTAAGCAGTGTCCGACTAATGTCATCCTTTAAAATGGAATCATTGAAAAGGCTATTAACTTGCACATCTTTGGATAGAGTGATGACTGGGTCACACGGTGTTGTATGCATGGCAGTGCTGTTTAAATTTATTTCTTCCAGAACACACACACACACACACAAAAAAAATCTACTTTGCTGTGAAGGTTTTGTGGGTGTGTGTATGAGATTAACTTTTGCCCTGATATTTCATATTTATTGATACCATGCTGTCAATATCACCTATCAAGTTTCGAGAGTATGTCTCTGTAGTGTGTTGGGAATTTCAAATATAGAAATGCCAGTATTTGTAAAATGGTACTGATTTAACTTGGGTTATAATGGGAAAATACAGCAAAAGCTTCTGGTAATTACTTGGAGCAGTAGTGAAGTAGTTAGGTTGGATTATTGTAGGAAGAAAAGTAACAAATGCCTATTTGAGCAGGGTGCAACAGGCTGAGCAAGTTCCAGATTGCTGTAGATCTACCTAAGGCGGAGGGGGGGGACCAAAACAACCCAACCAAGCATCACAGTCTTCTACTGTATAACTGTTATAGATTGTCAGTATTCAATCTACAGATGGGGGGGAGTGGGGAACTACCAATACCCGTAGGAGCGAGGATGCCTTCCCGCATTTAACCCCCTGTCACTAGATGGCATTGCGATATGATAGCATTTCTGAGATCAGGGCTCCATGTTCAGCATAAGGACACCTAATTGTTTATAAGTCTTGATTCAAAGCTATAGTTCAGTTTATTCCCATCCAGCCTGAAAAAATGCTGACACAATTGAATGGTGGACTATAGCATAGAGTAATGCATTTAGGCTTTAAATGTGTTCATAAATATGTAAGCTTCATTTTAAAAAAAATCTGTATCTCTGAGCAACTTGGTGACTAGTCCAAAGAGCTCTGCTTAGGCTGTAATGACATGTGATTGCTCGGTTCCAGTTTTACTCAGACAATATGAATGACAACAGAAGTACATGCTGTTGCCTCATGGTAGCCGCCACAAAATATTTTCTGCTGTAAATTATCAGTCTAAGTTCTGATCGTGTGCTAACCTTAACCTAAGGCTGTGCTGCATTATTTGGCTATTTTAAATAATGCTTCATCTTCATTAAAAGTGACGTGCAGTTGAAAATAAAACTGTAATAGTGTATTTTTTTTCTGCTTGAATTCATGCAGGGGGAAAAAAAAGCCTAAATGTGTGTGTCAAATCAAAAGGGAAAAAAAGCTCCTTTCATATTTTTAGATCTACTTTATGGCAGCAGGTAATGAAAGTACCTTTTTTTAAATTATGCTGTTCAAATGGGTTTTTTTCTTTTCCCTTAATTACGTAACAAATTTGGAATTCAAGGTAATTTTACATATGTATTTCATGATCTTAACATAGTATAAATCAAAACAAAAAAAATCTAATAAGTATATGTTGCAACAGCCATGTCCCTCTAAAGTATTATAGAAGAATCAGAGAATGAATCTAAGAATAAACGGTAGGAAAGCTCTTCTGAGTGGAGGAAATGAAAACTGGAAAGAGATTAGTTCAGAAGGGAAAAATATAAAAGGCAAAAAATCCACCATGCTTTTGCAAAAATCACAAGTAACAGATTAAATATATTTTGTGTGATTACAGCGTGGAGCTTGTAGCTACTGGAAATTAAGAATTTTATTTTTTAATTGTAAGGATGTATCTGGACAATCCAGATAACTATGGTATTTAATCCAGGTTTTGAACTACTAACAAAAGAATTGCAAGAGTTACTAAGCTTAGTCAAGTTAAAGGTTTTGACAAAGAGTTTAAACCAATTTTTTGTCAGTTTGAAAGAGCTGATTAAATCAGTTGGCTGCTGTAGGAGTCAACTTCTGAAACCTTTTTTGTGTAAGCAGGATATTGAACTAAGTAGACCTCTGATGTGATTCAGTTTGGTGATTCCTAGATTTAAAAAAAAAAAAATTAGAATACAATGTTATGGAAA